TCTACACCCGTTTGGATTGTCGAGTCTCTGGATAATCCCTGGTGGTTGTATTTTATCGATATTTACAGTTCTGAGCTTCTAAATAACTAGAGAAACAGACAATGGATACATAAAGTAAAACTGTTCTTTACAATCCACCTATTGATATTTTAACATAAAGGGAAATGTCCGTTTTGGTCTCTGCTCTGGTTTAGTGATTTATGCTTTACTTCTGTTGCCACTACAAACCAACATTTTCAAATTCGTTACCCAGTCCTTCTTTGATCGATTTTGTACGTATAAAGCTATACAATTTACGTAAATGAAAAATCGTTTTTTGTGTATTAACTGTTGATACAACACGGGGTCCCAATGAAAATTGTACCTCCCTAAAACTTGGCAAGGAAATGTGCTAACAAAAATCCAAACACCAGCCCATTTTTATATCGAGAATGGCCAATTTTGATGAAGAAATGATTTTTGCAACTTTATACTTTAGCTCTGCATTAAGGATTGCAACACCGCACAAATTTAAAATGATCCGTAATTTTTAAGGGGTTTTGATTACTTACACAGCCGATTTTATCTTTTTAAATCGATCGAATCGTTAACGAGAAATCGCGTTTAAAAATAACTACTCGAACGAAGGTATTCCTCGAAACAACCTCTGAATTATACCGTTGTTGTAGGGTAAAAGACATTCTGTTCGTAACACGACCGAAAACTGCAAAAAATTGTACCGTGTGTCCCATATTTTGATTGAGGATGCAATGTATTTCAGCTGTTTTTAAAGATAAGATATGATACCATCCCAAAAAGTCAAACTTTTCGTTTTCACCCTGTAACTCAGAAGCAAACGTTTGATTATGTCATCAATGTGTGATTTCACAATTTTTACCGTCTCGTCTGTAGGTATGTACAGGGTGTTTTTTTGGGAGCTTTAGCTAAACGTTTCTGGGAAAGTAAAATACGTAGGTTTTTGAAAATTTGCACTTAGGAGTTACTCTGAAGGCCGAATCTATGTAAAATATTTTCTAAGTGTCCGCACTTCCGGAAACACCGGAAGTAGATAGTAATTCCGTTATTTTAAATGGCAACCCCTATTTTTTATTGCATTTTTGGATTTTACGTGAAATTTCAGTTCTTTTGATACCCATATGTCGATATCTGCCAGTTATGGTTTTTAAGTTATTTTGACTTTAAGAAAAAAAATGGCGGATGCAGATGGTACCTTGATAATTGATTACTTGTAAAAGGTTATAGTCATGGCAACCCATTTTTATCAGTGCATAGAGAATGAATAGGGCTTTCTTTTAGTGTACTTAAAAAAAGTTAAGTTGCGTACAACCGCACCTATGGAGATCCAAATTTAAGAAACTTCAAAGTCTATAAACTCAGTTTTTTAAATGGAATGACCATGTTCTTAATATTACATGAGATAGAGAATCGAAATTGGCATATTTTGATATTACATGTTCCTATAGCTATCTTTAACAGTTTCTGATTTATTCCCATTTCATTGAATTGATCTCGGAATTGATGCCATTTTTTTTCGCATTTTCTTTTTAGTAGTTGGCCATGATTTTATAACAATCGAATTTTAAACAAATCAAGGAATGGATTCTTTAATACCATTGATTCTAGTACTAGTCTAAATAATTCATTAATAAATAAGTCATTTATTAAGGATATAGGACGGAAAATTTTTGAAAAATCTAGTCGTTCAACTGAATTTCTTAAACAACGTATAAGCAAAGAGTAATATTCTTTGGTATCAGTCTGGAAATTAAGAGAGGTAATGCGATATCTGTTCTAGCAACAATTCCATACCAAAAATGTTTCAACGAAGTTTTTTGTATTTTGCATTGAATTTATTTTGTTAATCTTGCATTTGCAATTCAATTCATTTTCTTAAATATTCTCTTGTAGAGCTTTGTATCACTTGTGCTTCAACGGTTTGTAGTGCATTAGGGGTACAAAATTTCCAAAATTCATACAATTTCGTTCCAGTTTTCGAATGAATGTACGGAAAGCACGCGCCGCGATTCTGCCCATTTCACCATAAATAACAATTAAATTCCAAAATAGGTGAAACCACTGCGAGTCATTTTTCGATTTTTGAAAAACTTATGTTAACCTATAACAGTGGGTGATGGATTAGTGTCACTAGATTTGTTTAAAATTCAATTGTTATAGAATCATGGCCGACTACTAAAAAGAAAATCTGAAAAAAATAGTGTCAATTCAATAAAATGGGAATAAGTCAGAAACTGTTAAAGATAGCTATAGGAACATGTATTGTCAAAATATGCCCATTTCGATTCTCTATCTCATGGAATAGTAAGAACATGGTCATTCCATTTAAAAAAGCTGTGTTCTTAGTCTTTGAAGTTTCATAAAATTGAATATTCATAGGGGCGGTCGTACGCAACTTAACTTTTTTTAAGTGCATTAAAAGAAAGCCCTATTCATTCTCTATGCACTGATAAAAATAGGTTGCCATGACTACAACCGTTTTCAAGTATTCAATTATCAAGGTACTATCTGCATCCGCCATTTTTTTTCTTAAAGTCAAAATAACTTAAAAACCATAAACGGTAGATCGACATATGGGTATCAAAAGAAGTGAAATTTCACGTAGAATCTAAAAATGCAATAAAAAATAGGGGTTGCCATTCAAAATAACGAAGTTACTATCTACTTCCGCTGTTTCCGGAAGTGCGGCCATTTTGAAAATATTTTACATCGATTCGGCCTTCAGAGTAACTCCTAAGTACAAATTTTCAAAAATCTACCTATTTTACTTTCCCAGAAACTTTTAACCTAAGCTCCCAAAAAAACACCCTGTAAGTATATGTAACTACGCAAGTTGAAAATTTTCCGCGATAATGGATCGACAGGTTTTGGCCGAATTTTGGATATTTGTCTATTAGGCATACGGAAACGAAAAATAACGGGTCGGATTTTTGTTTTATGACAGAACTGGGCACATATTAATCGGGATCCGCGATATTACCATATACGCGCGACTTGAATAAACTTTCGAATGTTGAGACTAAAACGTAAAGTATATCCGTGAAGTAAATTGTCGATTTGTAATCATTTCCATTTACAGTACAGACATTCTTTGTTACATCCGTAGGTGAAAAAAACTGTCATTGTACCTAATCGGTAGGTATGAAGTAGAAATAGCAAGAGGAGTCTTATAGAAAGCACAGAACGTAGTTTTTATTCTTTCTAAATCCGTTAGGAACTGTTGGATTCACGAGCCCCCTTCAGTTTTGTGGATTAGATGGGGAGGCGCGAGGGTTGTTTTTGTCTAAGCAACGTTATTTCCGGTGCGGCGTATATACAAAATGTATACGGCAGAAGGATGCAATATTGCAATGGTAAACGGAAAATTGCAGGTTGCAACTTTTGCGAGGCAGGTGCTTACGAAAATATCTAAACCTTTTTATCGATCTAAACATGATAAATGACGGGTATTATTAGTGATGGTCACGGCAATTTAATACCTTTTTTCGCCTTACACAATGTGGGAATATGGGACTAGGATCGATCGATACAACTTCTGTCAGACGCACGGATGTGTTGCCCAAATGTTTCCGGTTCCTCAAAATTTTACGCCGTAAATTCTCTCGTAAATTTTATCGAGTTATGTTGCGGGTACAACATGTTTTGGAAATGAAACTTTTCAAATTTGAGAGCGAATACGCATAATAGATGGAAGATGTTCTTGATGTGTCATTTCTATCATTTGGAAGGTTTGATTTTCAGTTTTTTTATCTACAGGTAAAGCATTCGCTGTAAATTTTGCATATTTTGGATGCATATTATGAATACCAGTGGCATACGCAGGGCCGTAGAGAGAAACTTGGGGCCCGGGGGGTTGTTAAGCACGGGCCCCTTTTTTGTGCTTAAACTTACCTATTTCACATTACTTTATTCTACTAATCAAGGACTCATAATATGAAATATTTGAAGGAATCCCCCCGTTTACCCCCCCCTCCTCGTCAGGCCTGGGCATACGCCTTAAAAGTATAACCCCATAAATTCTTAGTTACGTTTACCTTTGAGGCAAAGAAACAGTATACAAACATTCATAGTGATATATTGTTTCTCTCTTCAACTAATATAAAATATTTACACCCTAGCAAAAGACGATAGACTAAAAATAAAAAAAATCACTGAGAACTACATAAAACGTACGACAGATCGGGTAGCTTGACGCCAGATATTTCATGAATTATCCAAGTTGGAGGGAAATCTTCCCTTAGGAATTGCAACTTAAGATCGTAGGTATGATATGTTGGCTGTAGGATAGGAAGCGCTTTCTGTCGACGAAACAACCCCAATCGTAGGTAATTCAGTTACTAGACATGTAATTGACTTGAAGGCTTCTTGATACCAAACCCCAAACTCATAGAAATGAAACTTTACGTATAAGTTCCGTTTTAAAAGATGCCTAGTAAACAGTAATGAAAGCGACTATCTACCTTGTGCATTTCTGACATTTGTATGTTTTTTACTTCGTTTGTATACTCTCTTTGTCGTCGATCCTTTACCGTATAATTGCATGGAACGAAGTACGTATTGTGAGGGGTAAAGTACAAAATTTCGATTATTTTGACACTGATATCGTTAAAAATTACCTAAGCCCTCGGTACTGAGTTTGAAAGATGGTAACTGCTTTGAAAATCTGTATTATACTCGTAATTTAGTTTGAACCGCAGTTTTTGGCTACGTAACTCCTTGGTATTTACTTGTCTTCGAGTTTTTGTGCTCTGGAACACCATCACCTTGTGGTGGCTAGAACCATTTAGTTTGTGCTCAAGTAGATTATTGATGCCAGTTTCATTGTTTAGATCGAATTTTTGAAGTAGCTACAAATAGAATTTTGACAGTCTTAAGTAGTAGAAGTCCTACGCTTACTTTGCGAAAGCGCTTTATGTAGAACTTGCTTATTAGATTTTAGGTGGCTGGCTACCGATAAATAAAATTTAACCATTACCTACTTTTAGCCGAGCCGGAACCGCTGCTCGTTAGTGATGTTATGGACGCAGGTGCTAATATCTCAAGATTGAAAACGAGCATTTGTTAACATCATGTATTATTTATTTATTCAAATAAATTTTATTCTACGTTAATTTTATTAAATCTGCGAGATTTATTAGAGAGAAAACGTCAAGTAGAAAGACTCATTGGCAAATTGTGAAGGTCCTCCTCAATTAAATAAGTAGGTATCTCATAGATGGAAACCTATAAGTATTGCGCTTTCATTTACTGAGCTACCGACTTACACAACCACCCTTACTAAATAACTGAAAAGTGTTACCGGTCTTTGATTTATGAAACAAACTGCAGTTCATAATTTCCAGGAAAAAATAAGGATCTATTTTTAAAATAGGTGGTCAATTATATGTGAAATCTGCGTTTTCTTGCTTAAACAAAAATAACAAAGAATTAAAAGCAAAATATTACCTAATGATAAATGAAAACTTATTAATTTAGCATTTAGAATTGTCATCATCAATTGATCAGCAACCCCAACCATACCTTATAGGGTAGCCACACTTAAACTTTTGATTCGGCCACAAGCGAGTAATGATTTGGAATAGGTACCTACCTAATTGTGACTTCAGCAACATAGTCAAATTACTGTAAATTTACTCTTTTTTTATTCTGAGTTTTTTTTTAAACTAGCTGGACCTGTTCGTTCTTTATAAATTATTGTGGTATACTCTTTGATACATTTCCCTAATTAAAGTAAAATTATACATCATCCGGGCGGTTTGAATACTTGAAGAGTTCAGGGTATAACAAGTCAGGTATGAAATTTCCGTACATAACTACTGCTCGTACAGTAAGTAATAGGTACAACTTACTATTACCACTGAGAGATTTGAAAAAAAAATATCTCAATAGTGACTTTCAAAACTCTTGGTAGGTACCTAGGTGGGCATAGAACCTTAAAATCCTCCCATCAAAGGTTTTAGCTTGCGCTAAAACTGCCATGACTTCAGTTTAGTGGTGCATTTATTATTGAACTTGATTTTGCTTCATGTGAATAGTAAGCAAATTAAGGTGTTTATATGGAATTTGAGCAACAGCAACTTAACACGCATTTTCCATTAGGCGTATTTCCATTCTCGTATATGTATCTAAATTTAAATTCAAGTATCAGAGATACACAGTTTTTTGTGTCGTCCCAATTCTTGCACCCTGCCATTTTTTAAAACGTACCTATTCAAGATTTAACGATATATCTACCATCCATGATCAAAGCTAATGTGAAAATCATAAAATGGAAGATATCATCTATAAGACGAAATGGTAGTAAAACTCTGATGGATAACTGTTCAAGGGGATGGGTGATTTATGTCACTATTATTTTATTGTCACCAAATAAATAGATTTAAACACTTTTTTTATTAGGGAAACGTTTCCCTGTTCAGCATCTTAAAGTGTTATAGTGTGAGGCTATCGCAATGATTCTCAAAGAAAAATTCAGTTAGTATAGATGACATTTTAGTGTAATTTTTGTGTTTGAGGTTTGGGGTTGGGACTAAATGTATGTGAGGTAAAGTAATCAGGGGAAGGTGATATACAATGTGTATTTGAGTTACTTAAAATCTATAGCCATTTAAAAGACATACAGAGCGAGTCTTTTTTCATTTTTTACTATGGTGATTTTTTTTTTTTTTTTTTTTTTTTTTTTTTTTTTTGACAGGTGGGGAAATGCATTACGCACACTCCGGATAGAAGTCCGGAGTAGTGTGGGACTCTCCCATTATCTGGGTATACCCACTAAAACCCCACCTGAGGCTTCGGCATCTATGGCCATTAGCCTTTATACTTACACTAAGGTACTATAATATCACAGTTTCTGAACACACAACACAAGACAGGCGTGATTACATTTACTTATTTACTACACAAATATACATAAAGACAAAAATTTAAAAATATCACAGATGGTTTGCAATGCCAATTTGTTGGATGAACGCAAGAGTATTTTTACATTGCTCTTCATTTTTGAAGTTATTTTCCCATATCGGGTTTATATTAAATATCACACGTACATTCATATACTGCGGACAAATAGAAATAATGTGATGTGGTGTTAAATTAACACCACATTGTTCGCATAATGGCCGTTCTTCACCTGCCAACAAATACCCCTGAGTGAGAGCAGTATGCCCCAGACGGAGTCTGTACAGCCTGATCAAGTTCAAACGTCTAACGTCGATATAGAATAGCGGATCCAGACTAGGTTTGATCCTTTTCAAAGCCGTATCAGACTCCGACCACTGCTCACTCCACCGCTCATAGATTTTACTTTTCACGAGTCCACGCCGTGCAGTAGATGACATACTCGTGAAGTCAATATTCTCCAATTGGAGGTGGTTTAATACCTCTCTAGCCCTAACACCTAACGATCTACATCTGTATAGACGAGCAATGGTAGTCGCATCAGTAAGGGATCTAAAATTTGGATGTTTATCATCTAACCTTACTTTTATATAGTAGTTTGCAACAATCTGTTTCCGGCGAAGAGCTAGAGGGGGAATATTTGCCTCGACGTAGAGCGATGGAACTGGACTTGTTGGATATGCTCCCAAAGAATATCGAATAGCCAGGTTCTGAATCTTATCAAGTTCCCCAAGCAAAGCATTATTGCCACACGTAGAGTACGCTGCACATCCATAATCCATCCTTGATAGGATGAGGGCCTTATATATATCCAGTAGGGTCTTAGGGTGAGCTCCCCACCTATGATGAGCGAGAACTCTGATGATGTTCAGCGATTTTCTACATGTAGCAGTAACATTATTTAAATGCTTTGACCACCGTAATTCCCTGTCAAAGGTAAGCCCGAGAAACTTGACTTCCTGAACAACACTGATTACACGATCATTCATTAGTAGCACAGGATCATAGTGCGGTCTACGGAGTCGGCAAAAGTGGACAACCTTTGTCTTTTCCTCCGACAGCACAAACCCGACCGCATTGGCGTTACTACAGATTCTGTTTATGGCCACTTGTAGACTTCGAGTTATTGCACCGACCGTCTTACCAGAACAACAAACCATTAAATCATCAACATACAAACATTTATCAATCATCCCCTCAACACCTTTAGCTATTTCGTTTATGGCGATGCCAAACAGGGAACAGATCGTAAACCGTATACATGCAGGCGTTCATTTATTTTCAAAGATATAATTTTAACAAGTCCTTAGTGATTTTTTTCAGCTTGCGGGTTTTGAGTAAATTACATCAACTTTCTTATGCACGCCATATTGGATTTTTACTTCACACGAAGAGAAAAAAAACCTGTGATGCCTAACTGCACTTAGTATTTTGTTTAGGAATCCCCCTTGAATTTTCGTCTTGCAGTTTACAATGTATTTCTTATAGCAATCATTCCATACCTTGCTTGAAATGATTTGTGATTGAATCCAAATTCATTCGTTTTAATGTCCTGCATAGTTACCTTCATAAATAAATTCAATTTATAGTAAATCATTGATTTTAGTTAAATTCAAGTAGACCCGGCTGCTCCCCATTAGTATTAGTTTCCTATGATCTAAACGAACTTTTGCATTTTATACTTGTAACATCCTAATTTCCAAAACTGCTAGGCTTTTCAATTATACGTATGCTGCACTAGCATAACATTGGTATATGTTTTCGACCTCGAGGACCGTGTGGTAACTTGGAAGGGGGCCAAAAACCCTCAAATGTTCGGACTCTTTTCAGTTTTTCGCTTTTATAAACCAAAAGTTATTATTAATAATTTGTGATCATCATTAGAGCCAGTTGAGAATTATTACAAGGTTGCCTAGTATAGTTTCACATTAGCAGTTACATCAAAGTGACGTTATTCTTGATTATTGAGCCCATTCATTCCAGTTTTGTTACCAACATACGCATGTATTCCAGATTGAATGTGGTAGAGTTAAAAAAAGTAAAATCTCGCGAAGGGCATTAATTTGACGTCACCCCCTTACCTACCTATTCGTTCTAAAACAAATATCATGTATATTTTGGCCTCTTGTGTGTAATTGAACAACGATAAAGGTCGACCGGTCAGGACTGACAGTTTACGGATTGCCGGTCAACTAAACGTGGCTGAATTTTCAAAAATTCCTCAATGAATTGCAGTAGGGATAATTTTAATTGGATATACTATTTTTTTAAACAAGATTAGAAAATTTTTGCGCGTTGCTTTAATTGGGGTAGGAATTAGGGAAAAACTAATAATTGCAGTAGGTAACTAATCTACGATATATACATACCTATACCCGCGGATATTTCGAACAGTTATTTCTGCATGCTAAATCATAGTATTTTCTGTAGTAGGTAAACCTATGACCGTCAAAGGCTTCTGTTTAATAAAGTTTGCCCCATTAACTCCCCTTAACAACGTGTGTTTTGATGTGCGTAATTCATTATTCGAGTAGACGAGTCGAGGAGTTCTTGCACAATTATTAGGTGAATGAAATAGCCCTTTAGCGGTCACTATGTTCCTCCAGATCTTAAAAACAGTTTGGAATGTTTACAATCTTTTGTTCGATGCCTTTTTATTACCTATACAGTAAATCGGTAAATGTGGCAGGGGTCGTTTATATCAGACCGTATTAGGCAAATTTAATGCTTTTTCGAATTTCAGTCACGATTATTAACAAAACGTTTTCAGATTTTTAAAATGTTACATGTTTTTGACCTGCAACAAAAATAAGTAGGTAATTCATCCCAATCTGTTAACTTTTCTTTACTGGATACTGGTGGCGTCTAAAAACCTATAACTACTTAATAGGTTCGTTGAATGAAGGTCTCCATTTTTTTATATAGTTTATTGAATGATAAAATGATTGATTTAAAATGACAAACTACAAGTGCTCTTTTTAAAATACTTCGTTGAAAAATGCATAAAATTAAATTCGACAAGGAAAGGCGTTAAAAACCCTTTTCATGGAAGAATTCATAAGTGTTCAAGAGGGATGGGGATATAAAAAACGATGTCCAAGTGTAGTTTGATTTATTCATTTACACAAAAGTACAAAAGCTGTTGGATATCGAAAGAGTCGATACGCAACCCAACAGAAGAAGCTAACCGTCATGGATTACAGTTCATAACATT